ATATATATATAGATATAGATATACAAAACGGACAGACAGAGAGATTGGCGTCCTCGCCTTCAGGATGCTAGAACATTTTGATGCATGAAATAGGTGTCCCCGGCAGAGCTTCTGAAACGAGCTTCGGTGTAAGTCAGCCAAGGCGAAACTTAAGGGCGTTAACAACCAAAGCCACATTCTGGATCGTATGATATCATGGGGGATACGATTTGCCGTTTATGCAGCACGTTATCTTATCTATGTTCTCTAAAGGATCAAGTTACGGAGTCCCATACCCAACATTTTCGGCTCCGAATGACGTCAACTTTACCTGCATACTCAAAATTTGGTGCAGTGCAGAAGTAATCCTACTAATCAGAAATTCACAGCACACAGGCACCGCATTGCAGGGCCCGTATAGCAGCACGAGTGGTGGTGGCGGGGGCTCATTGCTACAAACATGGTAGCAGAGAGATGGTCGATCAGGGAGACGCAACATCGAGACCTTAGATTCTCCATGAGTCCATGCCCAGGAAGTCCACGAGGAGGTACAACCCGGAGACGTACCAGATGCTGTTTGGCAGGATTGATCCGATGATCCGGAAAAAAGATTCGGAGGGCTAGGTGGTAAGGGTTTAGGGTTTTCGGTTAGGGTTTAGGGGTTCAGGGTTTAGGGTTTAGGGGGTAATTTAGGGGCCCCAGTAGTTACCAAGACTCTTCTTCCTTGGGTTGCGAAAGCAGGTAGTTGTGTGAGTGCACCCAAAAAACCGGTTCTCTGTAATGAGGCATGTAGTCTCAGAGTTTCCTCCTGGACCCTGAACCCAAACCGTCGGCCCTAGACCCCGAAACCGTTACGCTCTAAACTGAAAGCCGTACATCCTAAGCCCTGGAGGAACACCTGTAGTTTCCATTGACGTCCCTTTTTTGGGATTAACGAGGTCTATACTTAGGCAGCTATAAGGTAGCCCAAAAAGGAACTACATTGGAGACTATGGGCAGGGCGTATAGAGATCAGGCTCCGTTTCTATTTGCGTTATAGTACAAGCTCAAAGAGGGCAGTACTTTGTAGCTTTCATAGGGCTGGGGGCCTAGCTGCAGAGTCTGGGGTTTAGGATATCTGTACTATTCCCGGGTTTGTCTTCTTTGCTTCAGAAGTTTCGGGGTAGGTAAGTCAAGCGATGCAGGAGTTTGTCTCCAGCAGGGGGTATGCCTGAAGAGGGATTTCATGGGGCATCAGCTCGCGGATCCGATCTGATCTTAAGGCCCTTTGGGAAACAGGGTTCATCAATCTGGGGTCTGCATATTTGCGTTTTTTTGGTTGGTTTGTCCCAACCGCCCCACGCCGAAGTCTTGCCCTTAAGCATCCAAGCGCCTACGAAGATTTAAGGTTTAAGGGTTATGATGCTCCTCTAAGCGGCACTTGCTGCTGCCCAAAACCCGAAAATTTCAAACGTTCTGGTACTTTGGGCCGCTAGCACGCGCTCAAAGGCAAAGATAAAATGTCTGACGAACCAAGCACTAGACTCCAAAGCACTTGACTCCTAAAGTCCTAAAGCTTGGATGCTAAGCCCTAAACAACCCCGAAACCAAACCCCCCCAAAGCCAACTTCAAACCCTCAAGCCCCCTAGCCTTAGACCCTAAACAGGAATGAAGCCCCAGAGCTTAAACCCGAAACCCTCAAAGCCCCAACCCCTCAACCCTAAACCCTAAATCCTAAACCCAAAACCCTAGACCCTAGGCCCTTAAAACCCCAACCCCCGGTTTTCGATGCTGCCAAAAGGTCGCTCTTTGATCTTCCCAGCCTACCAGGCTATCAGGCCCAAACGTTTCCTTTAAAAGGGATACTTTAGGGGCCTGGAGAACTAGAAGAGGGTTGTGGGTTTCTTGAAGGGTTAGGGTCAAAGGGTTTTACGGTTTTAGGGTTTAGAATTTAGGGTTTAGGGTTGAAAAGTGTTACGGTTGAAGGGTTTTGGGGTTTTAGGGTTTTGCATTTAGGGCTTATATAGGGTTTAACTGTGTAGGTTTGAAGGGTTTAGGGTTCAAGGGTTTGGCATTCAGGGCTTTGGGTTTTAAGGATCAGGATTTAAGGGTCATTGGTTTCGGTGTTGGGTTTTCGACTCCTAGCATAATCAAGAAGTTAACCTTCTCTTGCCAGGGTACTCAGCCCTTTAAGTGCTTTAGGCTTCTGGAGCTTCCGTTAGGGTTTTGGGTTTTGGGTTGATGTTTAGGGTTTAGGGTTTAGGGCAGCGGGCTCGGATCCCTACAATAAGAGAGGGTAGATTAGGATTCCCTAAACCCTAAACCCTAAACCCTAAACCCTAAACCCTAAACCCTAAACCCTGAACCCTAAACCCTAAACCCTAAACCCTAAACCCTAATTGGTGAGCTGCTTAGGATTCGACTGCAAGGGTTTCGAGTTTCCTGAGAATTTCAGCGGCTCTGAAGTTATCCACTACTCCAAACGTGTCGAAATAGCCCGAACGCCTCAGAGCGTGTGGTGTTTTTGGCCCAGAAGCCTGAAAGTAGGAGTCTTTGGGGCAATTAGGGGGTTTGCGGCATTTGGGGTACAGCGGATTCAGGCCTCATGCCACGGAGTTTGGGTTATAATGAGCCAGATGCCTGTACTTCAAGATTCCAGAAGCTGCCATGTGCACACGAGCCCGAACAAGAAACAATCTTGGCGTGAATTATCCCCAGGCCTTAAGCCTAAAGGCTCTAAACCCTAAACCCCAAGCCCTGAAGGTCTAACCCCGAAGCCCTAAACCCTAAACCCCAAGCCCACAACCTCTAACCCCGAAGCCCGAAACCGTAAACCCCAAGCCCTAAACCTCTAACCCCGAAGCCCTAAACCCTAAACCCCAAGCCCTAAACCTCTAACCCCTAAACCCTGAACCCCTAAATTCTCAGCTTCCCAACGCTCCTTGAGCCAGAGGCCGGATATGACTTCATTGTCTGCTGGGGAGTTCTGCACCACACCCACGATCCGAAGGAAGGCGAGGCATGCTTACTTGGAGGGTCGGGAGACTTAGTAAGTAGGTAATCAGTAGACTTACAAGTACCCTAAAAGGGACCCTAATTGGGGTTATAGTACTTATAAGTCTACAAAATAACCATTTACTAAGTCCCCCGACCCTCCAAATAGGGTTTAGAGTGTAGGGGTTTGGGGGTATGGGTTTAGGGTTTAAGGCCAAAGTTTTGGGTTTAAAAGTTTACCCATGGGAGTTGGAGTTTCCGTCATTTTCTTTTCGACTGTTGCTTCTCAGTCCGAGTAATAGGTTCCATTGTAGTTCCCTTTTGTGATCACCTTGTCGGATCCTAGATATAAACCACAAAAAGGCACTACAATGGAGCCTATGGGTAGGGGTTTAAGCAATATTTAGAGGGCCCAAGGGAGACCATGTGGCAAGTTTGTCTTTCTAACAGAGCGGAATCAATATTAGAATAAGAACAGCGGTTTGGGGTATTTTAAGTTATATACGATCGTCGGGACTGTTGTGACTATGGGTTGTGGGATTTACTGCTTCCGGGCTTGAAGCCTGAACCGGTAAACCCTGAAATGCGGATCCCAGGACATACACAAAAGCTTATCCCTTTCCCCACAAGGTTATTCAAGGGCTCAATACGCCCCCAACCCTAAACCCCGAAACCCCTAAAGCCTAAACCCCTAAACCCCTATACCCTAAAACGCTAAAGCCCTACACCCCTTTATCCCTAAAACTTCAACCCTGGGCCCGGAGCCCTGGGCCCGGCCTCCTTGAGACTGTGGGAGAGCGCAGGAAAACGAGCTCAACAAAAACGACACCCACAACCTCTAATATTTGGAGGGCCAGGGGACTTAGTAAGTCGGTTATAAGTTTAAGTAGGGTTATAGTCGGTAACTCCATTTAGGGTACTTATAACTCTACTTAGAACCTACTTACTAAGTCCCCTGACCCTCCAAGTACCCGAACCTTGGGCTCCCCATACGTAGTTCTCGAAAATTTACAGCACCCTTAAACGAAAGGATCCGAAAAGGGACGCCAATTAAGAGAATTACCCCTCTAAGGAAGTCTTCGGAACTAGAAGGGTTCTACCTTGCCCCCCCTGCCCCGCCTCCCCCCCTGGGCCTGGCCTGCCTGGGTGTGAGGGGTTTCGGGTTTAGGGTTTCGGGTTTAGGGGTTTAGGGTTGCCCTAAGCCCGAAGTCTCCCAGGCTTTCGGATCGTCGCCGACGCCCTGCGCGAGGGAGGAGTCCTCTTCGCGCAGGCACCGTTCCGACAGTAATGCGAGGTCTGCTTAGCTGTCCAAGACCCAACCTTTAAACCTTTGGGGTCCTGATGGTTTCGTCGAAATAATAAGAGGTTTGTGGGTACTAAAGTTTACCTGTAGCCCCAAGCGTGGCCCCAAGCCCTACGAAATAGTAGGTTATGACCCTTTCGTTATAGGGACGAACCCTTAAAACGGTAGGTTTTTGGATACCCCGGTAGGGTTCAGGGTTCAGGAATTTAGTGGATTAGGGCTGTATAGGGCCTGCTGGCTTGGAGGGTGCGTAAGGGTTCAAGGTTTGGGACTAGGATCCACCTGAATATCCCGAAACCTACCGTTTTCAGGGCCCTATCCCAAAACCTACCGTTTTCAGAGTTAGACCCCATAATTAAGGGGTCAGAACCTACTATTTCGTAGGGTTTGGGGATACAGGTAGTGCTTGGTGTTTAAGCCGACTTACGCTACCGAAACCTCGGGTACTTCAACAGTATTTTCGTAGACAGCCCTGTGCTGAACACTGTAAGTTAAGCTATCATTTCCTGTTTTTGTTGTTGGTTCTTTGCCATACTCAACAACGATATGTAGGACCCCCCAGAACCCTACACACCAGAAGGGTTTGGCGGCTAGGGTCCTGTGTTTCATACACTCCCACGGCTGTAGAGTCCCGAACCCTAAACCTTAAGGCCTTTCGGGTGATCGTCTAGCATCTTCCCAGCCCTAAACCTTATAAACCGTCTTCTACCAGGGACTACATGTGTTGGGGTAGTTCGGGGCTTTATCTCACCAAGCTTGCGCAACGCCTCGAACTTGTAAGCCATTGAAGCTAAACCCTAAAGCCCTACAACCTATGCCCGCAACCGCTAACACCCTAAAGCCGCCCTAAACCCCGGCCCTTAGAGGAATCCTCTACTAGATCCCGTAAGGACCCCCAAACGGCGACGTTGTCGAAGTGGCCTCGCCCAGGTGTACAACGATCGGGCGAAAGCCGGCTTCCACTACACGTGGCATGGCCTTCCTTCGGACTCGGTGTAAAAGGTTTAGGCGTTAGGGTTGAGGGTTGAGGGCTCCCTAAACCCAGAACCCTTACATGGTCAATTTCTCTTGAGCGTCCTTGCCAAGGTCATGTGTGTTGCTCTGTCTAGCTGAAGTTGCTACTACAGAGTGTGAACAAGTTGTAATCATGTCCCTCTGTATTCCCTGTACGTTCAAATTACGGGACACCCCGAAGCCCTTTGATAAGTTGCGCTTTTTCTGCTACACCTTTCAACTCTTGGCACTGCCATAATTAGTGCTATCAACAGAAAGGCTGCTGCGACGGTTCTCCTTTCCAGAATCACACTGGAACTGTCAAGGTCTTGTTCATGTTGTTTGGCAGTTGTGTTTTCTTAACTGTGCATTCTCATGACTAATAAGTATCCTCCATGCATTCCACATCGCGATGTCCATTTTCCTCGTATCGCAGTCAGTACCACAGAATGATCTCCAGCACGGCGCTTCAACATCGTTCGTAGTGCCTGTTCACCACCGGGAAACGGCTCCGACAGAAACTGCTCCAAAGCTCAGCTTTGGAGATAAGGGTTAACCACGCGCCGAAACCTAAACCTTAAACCCTATAGACTCTATATAGTCCCGACAAACCCTAAACCCCAAACGCCTGAACCCTTAACCCCAAACCTCTCAACCCTGAACCCTAAACCCTATAGACCCGAGAAGCCGTAAACAAAAAGACAAAGACCTCCAAAGCCCCGTAGCCCAATATAGAAGCCTAAATAATTACCAACATTACTGTCAGGGCTCCTTATCATAATTTTACTATAGAGGAGCCCACCCTAAACACTAAACCCTAAACCCTAAACCCTATTCTAATTATGAAGGCCCCTACATTACCCTAAACCCTAAACCCTAAGGCAGTCTTTTCGGGCGCGCTTTTACCAACTGGAGACCTTGGAGGAGAAGTTGCACTTTTTGAGGCTGGAGGGTTGGCATAAGGGTTCCTCTAGGGTTTCCGGGTTTAGGGGTTTAGGGTTGAGGGTTTGGGGGTTTAGGGTTTAGGTGTTTAGGATTTAGGGGTTTAGGGGTTTAGGGGTTAGGGTTGGGGTTTAGTTGTTTCGGGTTTAGGGGGTTAGGGTTGAGGGTGCCAATGGACCTTTTGTATTCAGTCAATAATAAACACATAAATAAAGGATACTCTAAGGGGTTCTGCGAGGGTTTAGGGCTCCTTTGAGGGATTCTCTTCGAGCGTCTTTACTTTTACGACGCAAGGGTTCAGGGTTCTTTAGGGGTTTAATATACAGGTACGAACAGTCGAAGAAAATGTTTCAACCATGTGTCAGTACAAATATAAGGTAATGTGCATGGGGGACCCTTCTTGAAAGGTACCTGCCAGCCTGCCAGGGGTCTTTCGTGTTATTCGAGGTTGCGATTTTATGGTTTTAGAGGTTCGTGGTGCAGTAGTTGGGGCTTCAGCATTTAGGGGTTTGGGTGTAGGGTTTAGTGTACTGGCACAAGGAGGGTTTGTAATCCATAAACCCTACAAGCTCTGCAGCTACATTCGGAAACCTGAGATGGCCAGGTCATATCGTGAACAAACTCTTAACTTGCCGGCGGGCAGTATAGCACCAGATCTGCTTCAAGCGCCCAGACGCTAAACCCTAAACCCTCAGCCCCTAAACCCGTATAACGTATAACCCCTAAACCCAAAGCCCTAAACCCTAAGCCCTAAACCCTAAACCCCTAAACTCCTAACCCCTAAACCCTAAACCCTAAACCCTAAACCTCAACCTGGTTCGGTACAACATCTTACAAGCCTTGGAAACTGAGAGTCCCTCAGAAACATCCCTGTTTAGGGTTTCGGGTTTGAGGGTTTTAGGGTTTTAGGGCTTAGGGTTTAGGGTCCCCCTAATCCCTAAACCGGATTCGGAATGTGTTTCGCGATTCCACTCTTTGCTGCGAGGGTCACTTGCCGTGCTGCGGGCGCAGCAGCTCGGCTATTGCGACCAGGTTTTGGGGCCTGACTGAGGGTTCCTTAGGCATTTAAGGGTTTGGGGTTTAGGGTTTAGGAATCTCAGCAGTACTTCTGCCGCCTTGCAGTTCCCACAACATCATGATATAGCCATACAGCGAAACCCCTGACAGACTCCGTGTATTCATATGATTCATATCGTCCGGTCCCTTCGAAAGCATATGATCATACTGTATCGTACTATACCCCCAAGACCCTGATCCCGTCAGTCAGGCCCTCATGTTGGAAACCCGTATTGCCTGTAGCCGTCATGTCACCTTATGATGTTTCAAGGAGCAATATCTCGGTGGCATGAGGTATTTGGGTCTGAGCAAGGTTCAGCACTTCGGGGCGTACCATAAGGGCTTAAGGCTTAAGTAATTACCTATACCATCTCGGGGGGTTCCTTATTATAGTTATAGTATATAACAATACACCCAAAGCCCTACTCCAATTATTAAGGCCCCTAGTGACCCTGGGCGTATGCGTGGGATTTGGCTTTCTCGATTTGGGAAGTCTCAGGCTCGGTGACGTTGGGTTTAGAATAGGACCCTTAAAATAATTAGGATAGGGTTTTGATGTATATTATACTAGAAGTATCATAAGGATCCCCCAAAACCCTATTCT